GCCCCATCTTCCTTCCGAGGAGTGGCTGGTGGGTTTGAACCACCAGCTTTCTGGTTAGCAGTCAAGTGCCTTAGGCACTACACTACCAGAGCTCCTATATATATATAAGAATATTCTTGATGAATCTTAGATATTAAATCTTAGACACAATGTGCAATTTCTAATGTTTTCTCCTTTTAAAATTTAGCAACCATAGGAAGAAGCCCCCTCTTAGACAATAAATGGTAGGTCCCATCCAAGGTCTGTGTGGCTGCTGGTATAGATAAGGCTGAGTTGGGATGAAATCCTTTATTAAGAACATGCAATTTCAGTATATTATTTATTACTTTAACTTGCCCATTAAGAGGGCCATCTCAGCAAGCAATATATAGAAGAAGACAACACTTAGTGGTGGAAGGACTGCTACTGATGACCAGGAAGACAAGAACATCTTACCTGCAGCAAAGGCATCAGCTGCAAACCCACTGCTTGCTCATAGAGCAAGTTGAGTTCTGCACAACTGGAAAAGGAGAGTTTGGAGGTGTAGAGGTAATAGTGCACATGCCTAAATGTGGACCCATCTCTGTCAATGAACAGCCGCTGACTTTCAGAAGAGGTCAAAGCCAAAGCCTCTTTCCACAGCAGGGAGTCAGGGAATTGAGCGAGTTTGCTTCTGGGAATTGAGAAATGCCAGCCCCCGACGTTGAAATGAAATAAATCCTCTACTGAGTCATGAAGCATACCCGGCTCCTCCTATAGGGAGAAAAGAGAATTACTCAAGACAAAGAAATAAAAGGCATCTAGATTGGAAAAGAAGTAAGACCATCTCTTATCTACAGAGGACATGATCTTGTATACAGAAAATCCTAAAGAAGCCACTAAAAACCTCTTAGAGCTAGAAAACAAGTTCAGCAAAGTTGGTGGTTCAAACCCACCCAGCAGCTCTGCAGGAGAAAGACCTGGAGATCTGCTCCTGTAAAGATTACAGCCCAGAAAACCCTATGGGGCAGTTCTACTCTGTCCCATGGGGTCACTATGAATGAAAAATCAACTTGATAGCACCTAACAACAAACAACAAAATGTTGTTTAACAATAAACCACAAAATGTTCACCGTACAATTCTGTCAACCTTTCTACACATTTGAAAATTTGCATAACATGTTGGTGGGGGAAAGTGTTATAGAGGCTGTTGCTCAAGAGAGAAAAATTCAACTTCTCTAACACAAACCTTCATCACCATTTTGACAGCTGAGGAAGAAAAAAAAATGAATGCAACAAAGAAGAAAGAGGGGCCCCTTTCTCTTATAGTAAGCCTGGTTTAAATATTTAGATAAAAAGAACAGTGATTATATATGACACATTGGAGACTAGAAAGGTTGATGGGGGCATTAAGAGAAAGATTACAAATTGTAAAACGGTATCATGACTCACAGAAACAGAGCTGGAAAGCCAATCTAATGAGCTAATCCAGGCATTTCTTTGAGTCCTGGCCCTTCAAAAAGCGATTAAAACTGAACCTGACAAGCTGAGAGTGACTAAGGGTTCAAGTAGGCAGGAATGCATACATATGCAAAGACTCTTGATTTTGCTTTCTGTCTCTGGAGAACCAAGAGAGCCAGCAGTTCTCCTTAAAGATTACTTGGCTAACAACTTCGTGGAAGTGCACAGTGTGGAGATTTTGGGTGTCAGAGAAAACCTGCTCCCTGAATGAAGGTGAGCCAAAGGTGAGTCTTAATTCCTCCTTTCCTATTAATCAAACCCAAAAAACAAACTCACTGCCACCGAATCGACTCCACCTGAGACTCCCTTTAGGTTTCCAAGGTTGTAATTCTTTATGAAAGTAGATTGCCCAGTCTTCCTTCTCTGGAGTGGCTGGTGGGTTTGAACCGCCAATCTTCTGGTTAGAAGCCAAATGCTTTAGGCACTATGCCACCTGAGCTCCTTTTTCTTTCTTATTAGGCACAGAGGGTCTTAGCTCAAGACTTTGTTTCCTTTTTACACACGTCTCATGCACAGGTTGGGGTTAGGAGGTGGCTGTTCTTAGGGGCTGATCAGCTCAGAACTATGCTATCCTGGGGAGAGCCCTCAGTTCCAGGTAAGCCTGGGTGGAGGTGGGAGGGGCTGTGGTACTTGAAGGGCAAAGGCTTCTTGCGAGACTGTCTGCTGGAAATGGGGTAGCCCTACGACTCATTTCTACCTCATCTCTCAGAGTATCATTTTTCTCAACACTGACTCTCTTCCCCCAAAGTAGATCCTTGCAAATAAATTCGTAGAGCTGGAACCACCTCATGCTCTGAAGACTCCAACTCCTCAAGAGCCCATTTACTGGTTTGGAGAGCTGGAGCTTCCCGTCATAACCCTAGGGGCAAACCCCGTCCTGCAGAGGTGGGGCACTCTTCAACTGGAGCGACTCCATGATGACCTAGAACTGCTAGAACTCCCAACCCTTCAGATCTGGAACCGCCCTAACCTTGCCCCAGATTCAACATCCCAAGCGCTAGGATCCGAAGACCTCACTCTTCAAAGAGAACACCCCCTCCACACACACACATACACACACACACTATCAAAGCTACATCTGGAGCTTTTTACCCTTCAAAGTCGGCGCACTATTTCATCTCCTCAGAGCTCGTGCCCCAAACTTTTCAAAGCTGGAGCCACCCATCTAAGTCACCCAGAGACCCCCAGCTTCATAGCCCAGATTCCGGGCCACGACGTCACCCCATTCGTCGCCCTAGTAGTGGTTGGCGCCCCCGCCAGGGTGGGCTCCATACCATATTCCGGGGTGCTGAGGCGAGCAGGCAGGCGCGCGACCCGGGCAG